AAAAATGGGGGAAAATGGGGAAAAAATGTGGAAAGATGGGAAAAAACAGGGAAAAATGGGGAAAATGGGGGAAAATGGGGGAAAATGGGGGAAAATGGGGATATCAGGGGAAAAAATTGAGAAAAAATGGGAAAAAAATAGAAAAAATGGAGAAAAATGGGGAAACATGAGAAAAATGGGAAAAAAACGGGGAAAATGGGGAAATCAGGGAAAAGATGGGAAAAATGGAGAAAAAATGGGGGAAAATGGGGGAAAATGGGAAAATGGGATTGGGAATAAATCTAGGGAAAAAATTTGGGATGAAAGGATTTATGGGATGGGATATTTTGGGATCTCTGATATGGGATGGGACATTCTGGGATTTTCAGGATGGAATTCCAGCTTTTCCCTGGGATCCACCGTGGTGCTGCGGGGAAAACAGCGGGAAAATGGGGAAAAATGGGGAAAAATGGGGAAAAATGGGAAAAAAATTGGAAAAAATGGGGGAAAATGGGGAAAATTGGGAAAAAAGGGGAAAAAACAGGGAAAAATGGAGGAAAAAATGGGGGAAAATGGGGAAAATTGGGAAAAATTGGGAAAAAACAGGGAAAAATGGAGGAAAAATGGGGGAAAATGGGAAAAAATGTGGAAAAATGGGAAAACGGGGAAATCAGGGGAAAAATGGGGAAAAATGGGGAAAATGGGAAAAAATGAGGGGAAAATGGGAAAAACTGGGAAAAATGGGAAAAAAATGGGGAAAGTCCAGGGAAGAACTGGGAAAAATGGGAAAATCAGGGGGAAAATAGAAAAAAAAATGGGAAAAAATAGGAAAAATGGGGAAATGGGATTGGGAATAAATCTGGGGAAAAAAATCAGGAGGAAAGGGTTTGTGGGATGGGAAATTCCTGGGATTTCCAGGATGGAATTCCAGCTTTTCCCTGGGATCCACCGTGAGGCTGCGGGCACAAAGAGCCCGGGAAAAGCCGGAAAAATGGGATTGGGAAGAAAAAATTGGGGAAAAAAATGGGATTAAAGGATTTCTGGGATGGGACATTCCTGATGTCTCTGGATTCCATCCCATGGATCCAATTCCTTGGGAATTCCATCCGGCCCTGAGGCAAATCCCAGGAATCTGGGAATGGGGAAAATCTGGGAATGGGGAAATTGGGAAATCCGGGAATTGGGGTAATCTGGGAATGAGGAAATCCAGGAATGGGAAAATCTGGGAATGGGGAGTTTTGGAAGTAAAAATTCCCTGCAATTCAATTGCACAGAAACCAAATCCCCAAAATCCCAAAATCCCAAAATCAAAAAAAAACCCGCCAAAAAAACCCCAAAAAACCCCCAAAAATCCCAAAGTCCCCAAATCCCCAAAATCCCCAAAATTCCCCCAAAATTTCCCCAAATCCCCAAAATCCCAAATCCCAAAAATCCCCAAAATTTCCAAAATCCCAAAAAATCCCCAAAATCCAAAAAAAATTTTTAAAATCCCCAAAAATTCAAAAACAATCCCCAAAATTCCCCAAATTCCCAAAATCCCTAATCCCAAAAAATCCCCAAAATCCCCAAATCCCAAAAATCCCCAAATCCCAAAAATCCCAAATCCCAAAAATCAAAAAAAAAATCCCAAAATCCAAAAAATTCCCCAAAAATTCTCCAAATCCTCAAATCCCCAAAAACCCCAAATCTCCAAAAATCCCAAAATCCAAAAAAATTCCCCAAATCCCAAAAATCCCAAAATCCCCAAAATCCCAAATCCCCAAAATTCCCAAAAATTTTGAAAAAAATCCCCAAAATCCCCAAATCCCAAATCCCCAAAATTCAAAAAAATTTTTAAAAATCCCCAAAAATTCCCAAAAAATTCCCAAAAAATTCCCAAAAAATCCCCAAAATCCCCAAATTCCAAAAATCCCAAATCGCAACAACCCCAAATCCCAGAATTCCCAAAATTCCCCAAATCCCGGGAATTGGGGTCTCACAGGAGCCTCTGGAGCCGCTCGGTGGCCGCCCGGAAGCAGCAAAAATCCTGGAAAAGAGAGCGGAACCCTCCGGGAATTCCCAGAAATCCGGGAAGGAAATCCACAGAAAATTGGGAATGGCTGAGAATTCCCGGTTTTTCCTCACCTGGCTCCGGCTCGGGATCGGATCCTGGAGAGGCCAAAGGTGCCTGGGAAGGGAAATTTGGGATTTGGGATTTCCCGATCCCGCGGGAGAAAAGGGAATTCCATGAAAATCCTGGAATGTTCTCTGGGATAAGACGTGGATATTGGGGAATTCTGGGATGAAAGGAATTGGATTTTCCATGGAATTCCAGGAAAATCCTTTGGGATTGGGATTTTCCAGGAATTATCCCTTGGGATCTCCTCCTCCTCTTCCGTTTGCTCCTCTCCCAGCCCTGCTCCAGCCTCGGGAATCTGGGAATTCCAGCCCATGGATCCGTTTTTCTGGGAATTCCATCCCTGGGAATTCCAGCCCGTGGATCCAATTCCTTGGGAATGCAATCCCATGGATCCAATTCCCTGGAACTGGGAATTCCAGCCCATGGATCTGCTTTCCAAGGGAATTCCATCCCCGGATCCCTTTCCTGGGAATTCCATCCTCGGGAATTCCATCCCAGGGATCCAATTCCTTGGGAATTCCATCCCCTGGATCCAATTCCTTGGGAATTCCATCCCCTGGATCCAATTCCTTGGGAATTCCATCCCAGGGATCCAATTCCTTGGGAATTCCATCCTCAGGAATTCCATCCCTGGATCCATTTTCCTGGAACTGGGAATTCCAGCCCATGGATCTGCTTTCCCAGGAATTCCATCCCCGGATCCTTTCCCTGGGAATTCCATCCCCTGGATCCAATTCCTTGGGAATTCCATCCCCTGGATCCAATTCCTTGGGAATTCCATCCCCTGGATCCAATTCCATCCCTGGGAATTCCATTCCTGGGAATTCCAGCCCATGGATCCATTTCTCTGGGAATTCCATCCCAGGGAATTCCATCCCCGGATCCCTTTCCCAGGAATTCCGTCCTTGGGAATTCCATCCCATAGATCCAATTCCCTGGGAATTGCAGCTCATGGATCCAGTTCCTTGGGAATTCCGTCCATGGGAATTCCATCCTCGGGAATTCCATCCCTGGATCCATTTTTCCTGGAATTTGGAATTCCATCCATGGATCCAATTCCTTGGGAATTCCATCCCTGGGAATTCCAGCCCCGGATCCCCTTCCCCGGGAATTCCATGGGAGTTTTTGGGATAATCCAGGAGGAATTTGGGCTCTTTCCTGTCCAGCCCCTCCCTTTGCTTTGGGCCGGAATCCTCCAGGAGAATTCCCAAAAATCCGGGAATTTTCCAAAATTTAAAATTATTGACATTTAAAAATTCGGGATAATTTGGATAAAAAAAATCGGGAATTTTCCGCATTTATAAATCATTGAAATTTAAAAATTCGGGATAATTTGGAGCAAAAAATTCAGGAATTTTTCCACATTTATAAATTCATAAATTCAGGATAATTTGGAGCAAAAAATTCAGGAATTTTCCACATTTATAAATTTATAAATTCATAAATTCGGGATAATTTGGAGCAAAGAATTTGGGAATTTTCCACATTTATAAATCATTGAAATTTAAAAATTCGGGATATTTTGGAGCAAAAAAATTTGGGAATTTTTCCACATTTATAAGTTTATGACCTCCAAAATTTCGGGATAATTTACAGCAAAAAATTCAGGAATTCCCAAAAAAAAAAAAAAATCCAGGAATACAAACCAGGATAACAACACCTCCCAGCCAAACCCTTCCAGAGCGGGAATTCCTCCGGAAAAATAAAACCCCCTCGGAGCACTGAACCTTCCCGGGATTTTTCCCGCGGGAATTCCGCTCACTTCTGCACTCCCAGGAATTCCAGGAGCTGGAAATCCGGGAATTGGCTCAGCTCCCGGATTCCTTGGCTGTAGAGCTCATCCTGGCGCTGGTGCTGGAGCAGGTACAGCACCGAGAGCTCCGGGTAAAACCTGGCCAGGATCAGCGGCAGCACCGGCCCGGAGCCCCTGCGGAAAACACGGGGAAAAAAATGGGATTTTCCAAAGGAATTCCGGGTGGATTTACCTGGAGGGGATGGGGGAGGGGTTGGGATGGGAGGGAGGGAATGGGTCCCGGAGGAGATGGAGAAGGGAGGGAGCTCTGGGAAATTCCTTGGGAAAAAGTTGGAGAACCGGGAAATTCCATGGGAAAATCCTGGAGAACC